CATAGAAACACCTTTCTTTGCAACTGTCTGACTATGACTGGCATTCTGTTAATGTTATCTTATCCTGTCTTCCTCCATATTGTGGAAATCCACTGGGGAAGGTTTCAGGGTCAGTGGCTAGCAGGAAATACTTTAGCAGAATGGGGCTGTGCTGGGAAGGGAGTGTAAAGGTAAATGGTCCCCAGGATTTGCTCATTTTGCCCCAGTTTAATCCCTGTAAACCACATCCTCCCCCCACAATCAGAATGTTTCCAAGTTTCCACAAGAACAATCTCATGGAGTTTCCCATCCCCTCTCTGGGAGTAATCTGTGTCATTGATGATCTGTCCCTACATTTATAATTTTTAAATAGCCTAGGAATTTTTTTTGTCCAAAAATGATTAGCATCTACCCTAATTGTTTCAAAATTTGTATTTTTGTTTTAATGTATACAGATAGGGTCTTGGAAACTGCAATGATATTTTAATTTGATTGTTTAATTTGATTGTCTGCAACCATAATTACAAGAACAAAGAATTTTGCCCCTTAGCCATGGTGATAGGCACCATATTAAAGCATAAATAGAGACAGCCTCACGGAACAAAATTCAGCCCTGACAACACTGGGTTCGGCTCTTTGGTTTTAAAAGGAGAAGTCATTGCAAACATGTAATAATACATCATATCATGTCATAAACACAGGGTTTTCAAGGCTTTAAAGTTACGCACTTGAAGTCATGAAATAATAATCTGTATTACAATAAAAATCATGCACCACCAAGATAAAAGCTTCCATCACACATCCAGAGAAAGTTCTTTCTTTTATTAATGACTCATGTCTTGTACTCCTAGATGCTTTCCTCAGTTTATTCTCATTACTAGTGCAGATTAATAAGGGTGCAAGTAAATCTGTTGTGAGCTTTTCTACCAGGCCTGACTTTCAGTGTAAGTAGGAGTGAATGTGGGCATGACAGCTCAATGATTTTTTTTTTCTTGCAAAAGTAATTGTATACTCTGATCATGTCGCCCTCAGACTCAGAGACAGCCTGCAGAACAACTCCCTCTGCCTGGCATGTCAGAGATCCCTCCAGGAAGGAAGCCTACTTAGTTACAGCATCACACTGATGTACTTTAATAGCAGGGTATAAACACATAGAAGTTTGGGTTTTCCTCAGCATTGTGGCCCAACTCTGCTCCCACTAAAATCAACAGGAGTTTTACCATTAACTTCATTGGGAGTCAAATTAGAGCAACGCTGGGTTCTTCTGAAAATCCTACCCAATGGGTCACGATCCTGGAGCCCTCACATGAGTGATCCCACTGAAGTCATAACTAAACACTGTAGGATCAGTCCCAAAATCTTATTTGAAAGGCACAGTGAGCCAGAGCAATGCTGAAGTCTATAGTTATGTTTATATAAAAATACAGCCCCTAGATTACAGCATGCTTTGAGGATGTTAACAATTAGATATACAAAACTGTACATAAATTAAAACTGCAAGGATTAGTAGCACACATAGGTTCACAGTACTTTTAAAGAATTGCATCTAAAGCCAGAATTGCTTTCTAATTACAGTGCTTATCTAACCACTTGTTCTGCAGAGGTGGTGGTTGGTTGGTTGGTTGTTAAACAGAGATACAATACAATCTACCTGCTCCTTCAATAACCCTAGTCTGTTATAATTAAGAAAATACAATACAATTAAAGAAACCAGAAACAGAGTATAGTGATCTCACGGTGTATTTGAATGTGCAGATTCTTATATATTGAGGAAACAAACTCAGCAAAGCAGGAACAGGTGTTCAGAAATTTTAATTTAGAATGTAATTGTGTTTGCAATGCCTTTGGTCTGACCCCACATTCCTTAATTAGTGGAAATTTCCACTTTGGGGTGGAATATTCAAAAGCACTCAGGTCTGGTTAACTCTGTTCCCATTGACATTGATGAGAGTTTTACCTCAGATGAACTGAAGTATTGCTAGAGTAAGGACTGCCGGAGCAGGTCCTTTATGCATTGAGATCATGTACGGTATTATTTTTAATGAGTGTTTTAATGTCTGCTGACACTGATGCCCACTCTGTTCCCTCTGAACTGAATCCAGTTATCTGAGAGAGAAGTAGAGAGGGAATACTGAACACTGAATTTTCTTTGTGGATCAGCACAAAATTATTTGGCACAGGCAACTCTGCAAATATTTGTGAAACAGTGAGTAAATTTGCCATGTATGATGGCCCTCAAGCTTGTACTTCCCCCTCTGTGGTGTGGAGGCTCATAAATCCAGTGCTGGTGCTCAGTAATGCTGTAATAGGAAACATATTGATACAGGCTGCATCCAATGTCACTGGTAATTTTTTTCTTATATGACCTATTCAGCTTTGTTTAGCTTGATGTTTCCCTTTATTTGCAAAAAGCAGCTTATTTTTAAACTAGGTTCCTAGCCCTACAGGTTTTCCTCACCATAGCAAAGTGCACTGCCCAGTCAGACTTAGGCAAGCATGGAGCCTGCAAGCACAAGTTGTCCCATTCCTCAGGGGTTCCTCAAGGAGAAGAGGGAGTACAGTGGATGCCATTTTCACAATCTTGTGAAAGGTAAGGTAGCCTCTGTTTTGATTTGTGCAGGGGAGTCCCTTTGAATACAGGCCAGCTCCACGTCGGAGACAACTCCACATTGTAGATGGATGCCACAAGAACAGGTGAACAAAGTATGACTGTGAGGCTGCAATAATAGCTTTAGGTTTCATTATGCTACCGGCTCAGGAGGTATTTGTGTATCTGAGCCGGATCGTATCTAGACATTATGTAGTTTTAGACATATTTAAGTAAATATTTATCCCCCACATTCCATTTCCCCCGACCCGCAAAGAACATAAAAGGGGGGAAGTTAAAGCTCTAAGGACAATTGAGGCCTCACTCCACAGGCTTGCTCTTCTAGGCACTCTGTGTTTGGAACTCCCACTGAAATCAATGGCAGTTCCCTACATGGACACTCACAGGAAGAAGCCACAAGAACTCATGTTATGGGTATTGTATGAGGTGCTCTATTGAACTGGGAGTCATGTTTAAAATGATAGCTCTTTCTGTTTCTTTATGAAGTGACTCACTTCTTCCCATAGGACTATTTTGAATGTATTAGGATCATAATAAGGAGAAATTACTTCTCCCAACAGGAGGAAAAACACTGATAAACTGCTCTTTCAGTTTTCTAATACTTGTGAGGCACTTAGGCCAGATCCTTAAAGGTATTTAGGCTCCAAACTTCTATAAAATCATGCAGAGTTGACAGGGTCTTGTTTTTTAACATCCTACCAATAGTAAACTGCATGGAACAAAATGAGCCTAATTCTTCTCTCACACTGGCTTGACATGGGTATAATTCTATTTACTTTAATGGAGTAACTCCTCATTTACAACAGTTTCAGGCATTTTCTACATGGGAAAAAATTTTCACTATAATCCAAGTTGTGAATGAAAATCGCTAGAGTTACACTGGTATAACCCCCCCCCCCCTCGCCCACACACACACTCACTCACTCCCAGCCCCTGCAATGTGGGCACTCTAATTCTGATAAAAAAGTGCTTTGTTTTTTTATTTAGCTTATGTCATTTGGGAGGGCTTAAGGGGGTTAAGCTGTACCAAAAAAGCCACTTTTACACTGGAATAAGAGTGTCCAGACAGTGGGGGAGGGGGTTATACAGTTTCCTATGTAGGCAAACCCTAAGTGAGAGAAGAATCACATTAATTTGTCTAGTTCAGAAGAGATAAAGGGCTGCACCAACTCAGCCAGATTTTGAAACTTTTGTTTCAAGGTATCTAGATACTCCAAACCTAATGCTTAGACTTCTAAGGCAAGCCATCCCCAACCAAAGCACTCACCTTCATCTTGAGGGTTACCTGACAGGTCATGTTACTGCACCTACTCCTGGTAGGTTATTTTGGTACATGTAGGTATTTCAGTCCTGACCTGTGTCTATGCTAAATCCATTTCCTCAAAAATATTCAGTGTCTATTTACCAAAAGAGTGGCAAGCCATGCTACACTATTTCCTTAATTATAGTCCTTCTAAATATTTAACTACCTATAGTGCTCCCTGGAGGTGGATTTTTGCAGTGGATTCTACAGTGAAGGGTTTGCTATAAAGATTGTACACACAGTAAGAAGGCAGAATGCCTTCATTTTTTTTTATAATACGGAGCCTTATAATGAGACGTTAGAGTGCAGCACCCTTATTTTTGAGGTAGCCATGTACTGAGAAACCCTTGTACTGAGAAAAGGAGAACACTATATTTTTATATTGGTAAACATACAGTTTTCCTGTCTGTTCAGTGTCAAAAACCTGATCCACCTTAAGAATCAAATGTATTGTTCATTTAGTATTTATGTGCTTAATCTCGGTATCCTTAAACTCTGAATGGAATTAGAAGACTATACCAATACTGAGCATTCAGATCTGTAGTCTGTTTTCCCGATAGGAGTTACATGATGCCGTGACATACGGAATGTTTTTAAACCAGCAGGAAATCTGTGCATTTCAAGCCCACCCTCCCTTCAGCTCATTCAGATGTATGTTTCTGATGTAAAATGAGTTATTGTATGTAAGCAACTGTAGATAAGCCTAAAGGATATCATGCAATTTTCTCCACTGCTTTCACATACACAAATATGTCCTAATACTGCAGCATTTTCAAACAAACCCATCATGCAGATGCTTAAAAAAGTTATACTATAAAAACTAATTTCATTCTTTTGTAGCAAACCAAATGCATATTTAATTTTCTATGCTTTTAATAGCCAAGAATCCAAGAATTCTCTTTGCTTCAGGTGGCTCTGTGTACCACATGGTTACACATTTCAGTTAAAATCATGTATAAATGTTTTCTAGTTATTTAACCTTTCCCTTTTCTTTCCTCTCTCTCTTGTTTGACAAGCACTATATACAGAATCATTTAGCCTTTTCAGTCTCTCACTATAAGGAAAAGTAGGTTAAAAAAGAAAGAGTAAGAGAGCTATCTTCCAACATACCTTGCAAGGAGAGTACTGTTCACTCCCAGCTGTTTGACTTTTCAATACCTTCACTCACACTTCAGTGCTCCCAAGATTCATAATGTCACAATCACTGTGGACTTACAATTTGAAGCAGAAACAGATTTCTCTCTCTCACCCTTCCTCTCTTTCTCTGTGCAGCTGACAGTGTTACACTTTGTTAGGACTGTAACAGGACTTGTCTCCCAGCCCTTTCACCACTCTGATGAATAATCTCCTCCCTGCTATTAAGAGCATGTTACCATTATATCTTAAAAAGCACGTCAGACCTTGTATGCAGTAGCTGTGGGAAAGCTGCATTTATTTAAACAGGAAGCTTGAGCACAGCACTTCCTACTTCCCATCTGAGTCTCAGTTGAACTGCAGGTGATTGCTTTAAACCATCAAATTCCAACCAATACATATCCCAATCTTCTTATTTTGACATCTCTGCTATTTGTAATTATAATTCCCATCTGAGTCCTGACAAGGTAAAAGTAAGAGAGATATAATGGTGTATGTGACACTTATACATAGCCCTCCAGTTGTCACTTAACCAGCTCTAGGACAGTGGATTGTATAGCAGCTGACCTGTTGGCACGTTGCCTGAAATGTTACTGCTTTCTGCTCATCCCCTCACATGAATGAAATGTTTTGAATATGAAGTGATTTCCCCATGAGGAAATCACAAATTACAAATATAAATTGCAGGTGCAACTTCAAATCTGAATCTTATTGCGCTGTTGATTTTATTCAGCTTGCGTCATTAGGACAACTAAGGGTATGACAGTGCTGCAGAAAAGAAGGCTGCAAAACTAGATTCTGACTCCTTAATCTGAGGTTGTATGCAACAGAGGTGATGAATTCAGAGGATCCATTCTCCTTGCACGAGTGCTCTGTTCATCTAGTGAACCAGCAGTGGTACATACTGTACCATATAGAATCATAGGACTGGAGGGGACCTCGAGAGGTCATCTAGTCCAGTCCCCTGCACTCATAGCAGGACTAAGTATTATCTAGACCAGGGGTAGGCAAACTTTTTGGCCCGAGGGCCACATCAGGGTTGTGCAACAGTATGGAGGGCCGGGTAGGGAAGGCTGTGCCTCCCCAAACAGCCTGGCCCCTGCCCCCTATCCGCCTCCTCCCACTTCCCGCCTCCTGACTGCTCCCCTCAGAACCCCTGACCCATCCAACCCCCCCTGCTCCTTGTCCCCTGACTGCCCTCTCCCAGGATCCCACCCCCTATCCAACCCCCCCCACTCCCTGTCCCCTGACTGCCCTGCCCCCATCACACCCCCGCCCCCTGACAGGCCCCCCAGGACTCCACCCCCTATCCAACCCCCCTGTTCCCTGTCCCACCCAACCCCCCGGGACCCCACCCCCTCTCCAACCCACCCCATTCCCTATCTCCTGACTGCCCCCTCCCGAACCTCCGCCCTATCCAACCGCCCCCTGACTGCCCCCTGGGGCCAACTGCCCCTTATCCAACCCCTCTTCCCCCCACCCCCTTACCCTACTCTTACCCTTACCCTGATTCTCAGAGCGGCAGGACACACTTATTTGAAAGCCTGGGAGGTGGGCGGGCGCAAGCCGCGTGGCGGCATTACTACAGGGGAGGGGGATACAGTGGGGGAGGGGCTGGCGGTGAGCCTCCCCGGCCGGGAGCTATGAAGCTGGACAGGACCATCCTGCGGGCCGTAGTTTGCCCACCCCTGATCTAGACCATCCCTGACAGGTGTTTGTGACGTAGAGCCAGTTAGTACTCTTCTCTGCCTGCTGAAGAAAAAGTGCCAGACCACAGATGAGATCTGGTATGGCATTTCCATATGTCTTAATGGGTGTGAAAAAAAAATTGAGAAAGAAAAGCTAGGGACATTAATCAAAGTTAATCTGCAATCTTCTCTTTATGATGAAATGTGTTGTACATCATGTAATTCAGGATGGCAATATGCCTTCATACTTATTTGGGAGGACTGTTGAATGTATGCTCATTCTCCTTTTGTGTATCTCTCTCATTGCTGGGCTTTTCAGAGTTATACTTCATCCTATGAATTTTTATAAAAATTTACAAAGATTAACTTTCAAATTTTAAAAGCTAATACAGTTGTGGGTTTCTGTACATTTATAAATGTATACCTATGCATACAAAAAAAATCATGTTAAAATTACATTATTAAGGTTGCAAAGACAGTCAGAGGCTTAGGGACACCCAGAGCATGGGGTTGCATCCCTGACCATTGATGGACAGATGAATAGCCATTGATGAATCCACCCTCCATGAACATATCTAAATCTTTTTTGAACCCAGCTATAATTTTGGCCTTCACAACATCCCCGGCAATGAATTCCACAAATTGCCTGTGTGATGAGTTAAGTACTTCTTTTTGCCTATTAATTTCACTGGGTGACCCCTGGTTCTTGTGTTATGTGAAGGTGTAAATAAGACTTCTTTATTCACTTCCTCCATTCCATTCATGAGTTTATAGACCTCTGTCATATCCCTTTTAGTTTTCGCTGAAAAGTCCCACTCTTTTTAATCTTGCCTCATATAGAAGCTTTTCCTTAATCATTTTTGATGCCCCTCTCTGTATCTTTTCCAGTTCTAATATATCTTTTTTGAGATGGGGGAACCAGAACAGCATGCAGTATTCAAGCTGTAGGCATACCATGGATTTATATAGTGTAATTATGATATTACTGTCTTGTTATCTATCCCTTTGCTAATGGTTTCCAGCATTCTGTTAGCTTTTTTGATTGCCACTGCACATTGAGTGGATGTTTTCAGAGAATTATCCCACCGTGACTTCAAGATCTCTTTCTTGAATAGTAACAGCTAATTTAGACCCCATTATTTTGTATGCATAGGTGGGATTGTTTTCCAATGTGCATTACTTTGCATTTATCAACATTGAATTTCATCTGCCATTTTGTTGCCCAGTCACCCGATTTTGTGAAGTCCCTTTGTAACTCTTCACAGTCTGCTTTAGACTTAACTACCTTGAGTAATTATTTATTGTCTGGAAACTTTGCCACCTTCCTGTTTACCTATTTTTCCAGATCATTTATGAATATGTTGCAAATCACTAATCCCAGTACCACTATTTACCTTTCTCCATTCTAAAAACTGACCATTTATTCCTTCCCTTTGTTTCCTGTCTTTTAACCAGTTACTGAACCAGGAGAGGACTTTCCCTCTTCTCCCACGATTGCTTACTTGCCTAGGAGCCTTTGGTGAGGGATCACGTAAAAAGCTTTCTGAAAGTCCAAGTACACTACATCTACGGGATCACCCTTGTTCAGCTGTTTGTTGACACCCCCCCCCCTCAGAAAACTCTAATACATAGGTGAGGCATGATTTACTTTTACAAAAGCCATGTTGACTATTCCCCAACAAATTGTGTTCACCTATGTGTCTGATAATTCTGTTCTTTACTATAGTGTCAACCAATTTTCCTGGTACTGAAGTTAGGCTTACTGGCCTGTAATTGCCAGGATCACCTCTGCAGCCTTTTTAAAATCTGGTGTCACATTAGCTATCCTCCAGTCATCTGGTACAGAAGCTGATTTAAGTGATAGGTTACATTCCATAGTTAGTAGTTCTGCGATTTCATATTTGAGTTCCTTCAGAACTCTTGTGGAATACCATCTGGTCCTGATGACTTATTATTATTTAATTTATCAATTTGTTCCAAAATCTCCTCTATTGATAACTGAATCTGGGACAGGTTGTCATCTAAAAAGAATGGACTGGGTGTGGGAACCTCCCTCACATTCTTTGTAGTGAAGACCAATGCAAAGAATTCATTTAGCTTCCCCACAATGGCCTTGTGTTCTTTGAGTGCTCCGTTAGCACCCTGATAGTCCATTGGCCCCATTGATTATTTGGCAGTTTCCTGATTCTGATATACTTTAAAAAAATTGCTGTTAGTTTTTGAGTCTTTTGCTAGTTGTTCTTCAAATTCTCTTTTGACCTGACTATTTATACTTTTACACTTGACTTGCCAGAGTTTATGCTCCTTTCTATCCGGTTCTCCACCTTTTTCTTTCTGAGCCCCCTCACCTCCAGCATGCTATAAAACCTCCATGGCCCACCTGTGTCACAACTGATTTTCTGCATATAAAAGTCAGGGCTGGCATTAGGAGGTAGCAAACAGGGCAATTGCCTGGGGCCCCACGCGACAGGGGCCCCCACGAAGCTAAGTTGCTCAGGATTTGGCTTCAACCCCAGGTGGCAGGGCTCTGGGCTTCAGCCCCATACGGTGGGGCTTCGGCTTTCTGCCCTGGGCCCCAGCAAGTCTGACGCTGGCCCTGCTTGATGGACCCCCTGAAACCTGCTCACAGGCCCCCAGGGAGCCCCAGACCCCTGGTTGAGAACCACTGGACTAGACTATTATGTGCCACAGGCAGAGCACAGAAGGAACCAAGGTTCACCAGGGCTCAAGGCCCCTGAAATGGCAGAGAAATGATTAGGTGAGATATTCCCAGACAATGCTGGCAACTGGCACGCGCACACACACACACTGCAGAGAAAAAATACCAAGGTCACTGCCAATCTGACCTGGGGAAAAATTCCTCCCTGACCCCCTTATTAAGTTGTTTAGCCCCACAACTCCTATTTGGAGGCTGTTCCAGAATCTCACCACTCTGATGATAAGAAACCTTCTAACTTCCAATCCTTCTTCAAGTGACATTCTCACCTCCTGTCCTCTCAGCTTCGCTCCCTATCCCCACCCATTATCACCTGATCTTGTTTACCCTCCCTGTGCCTCATAGTCACCTGGCCCTCACAGTGTTCCTGCCTGTCTCCTGACAGCCTGGCCACCATTTGCATAGGAAACAAAGCAAGATGGCATCCACCTTTACTAGGGCAGACTACCTGCCACCTGTAAAGTCTATAGGGAAATAGTGGTCATCTTCACTATGGGCATTCTGTGGCTTAAATCCCATTGAAAATCATGGGTGATGGGCATACCACCCCATATTTCAAGTAGCTAAAGTGGTATGCAATTGGTCACCGCTAATGCCTGTGGAGCCATCCCCACTGCTGGTCCCAGCACCTCACCTTCCAAGTCTGTGCCATGCTCAGCTCCCACCTTTCAGTCCAGCCCACCCAGGTCCAATGTTAGTCCCCACCCTGAGCTCTCCTGCCAGGCACTGAGCGTGCCCAGGAGAAGCTAAACCCACCAAGGTGCTTGAGCCCTGGAGGTTAGATTAATCTGCAAGGTTAGACTAATCTCTTGTGGACCTGGACCATGGCTCCACCCCCCACTTCACCCGTGCTCTGCCCCAAGGCCCTGCCTCACGCTCAGCCTCTTTCCCCTGAGGCCCCGCCCACCACTTGCATGGTGGGGGAGGGTGGAGAAGAGCGAGCTGAGATGAGGGGTTGGGGAGGAGCAAGTGGTGGGCAAGGCCTCGGGGCAGGGAAGAGCCGAGCACAGGCAGGGCCTCGGAGAGGAGCACAGGCAGGGCCTCTGGGGGAAGAAGCCAAGCGAGGGTGAGGCTTCGGGGTGGA